TGGCGCTCACGCTGCCGATGTGCAGGGCGGGGCTGTTGTTCTCGCGGACGCGCAGGGTGTAGGTGGTTTGGCTGAAGGCGGGGGCGTTGTCGTTGACGTCGGAGACCGTCACGGTTATGTTGTGCTGCGTTTTCAGCCTGGGGGTCCCCAAGTCAGTGACGGTGATGGTGATGTTGTATTCCGCTCTGCTCTCTCTGTCGAGGGGACTCTCCGTTACCAGCGTGTAGAAATTCTTGAAAGTCGGTTTCAGAAGGAACGGCAGATTATCTGGAATAGAGCAAATCATCTTGCCATTGTCTCCAGAGTCTCTATCTCGAATTCTGAAGATAGACACTACAGTCTCAGGAGCATTTTCTGGGATGGAGTTGGTGAGTGAAGATATTGTAAGCTCAGGGGCATTGTCGTTCACATCCACCACGTGTATGACTACAGTGCCTTTTCCAGAAAGGCCTCCGCCATCTATGGCCTCAATTTCTACGTGGTAAGATTTAATGTGTTCAAAATCCAATTTCTTTGTCAGTCGGATTTCTCCTGTGACTTCATTAATTGAGAAAGTTTGTTTAATTTCATCTGATGCTTGGAAAAAGCCGTAGGAAACACTCCCGAAGTTTCCAGAATCTATATCTTTAGCTGAGACACTAAGTACTGGGGAATCTAAGGAGCTGTTTTCCAAAACCTGTACTTCATATGGGGTGTGCACAAACTCTGGAGCATTGTCATTGACGTCTGTGATCAGGATTCGCACTGTGATGGTGCCAGACTTAGGTGGAGATCCACCATCCAGTGCTATGAGGGTTAAGCTGAACGCAGGCTGCTCCTCTCGATCCAGCGCTTTGTCCTGCACCAAATCTGGGTATTTCTTGGCCTCACTATGATTTCGAGTTAGAACATGAAAATAAGAATTGGGGCTGATAGTGTACTTTTGAAGGCCATTGCTACCCACATCCAAATCCTCAGCTAATTTCAACGGAAACAGAGTCCCTGGCTGGCTGTTCTCCGGTATTTTCAAGAGCATTTCCCCAGTCGGGAATACTGGGGAGTGGTCATTTATGTCCTGGATTGATAATTCTCCTTCAAAAAATTGCACCGGCGTTTCCAGCAACACTTGGAAATGCAGTACACACGGTTCAACAGAGCCACATAGTTCTTCCCGGTCTATTTTCTCCCTCAAAAGCAAATCTCCAGTCTGACGATCCAGTTGCAAGCGCTGCTTGTCATCGTCAGACACCACCCGGGCTGACCTAGCGGTCAGTTCCCTAATTCCCAGGCCCAGATCTTTGGCCAGATGGGCTATAAAGGAGCCACTCTCTGTTTCTTCTATCACAGAATAACGAATAGGCTCAGGGCAAGCCTGGGACAAGACCACCATCAAAATAAAGGCCACCACTTGCCTGTTTGGTTGAATTCTCTCTGGCGTCTTCATGTTGGAGTCCGGGCGCTTACATCCAAACCTTCCTAGCAACCACAAAAAAACTGGAGATACTAAATTCTGGTTTCTTGTTTGGTAGAATCCTCATAAAGTTGCCTTTAATCTTAAATTCGTTTATCGCAGCCCAAACTCGCTGGTAACCCAGTATGGCTGGCAAAGCTTCTTCCGTGTATTTGATTCCTTTTTGCAACAAAGGAATACGGAGCTTTTTACAGCTCTTTATTCACAGTCTTAGCCTGCAGCGCCACCCTGCGTCTTGATTGGGAAATTAATATTTTCAAGTCAAAGCATATTTTTTTAAGGGTACAAATGTAAACTATTTTTTAAGGTGTATATAACTTTTACAAACCTTGTTATTCCATCCAATTGCATAATATATAAGGTTACTTCATTATATTGCATGAGCTAGAGTAATTGTGAGCACAAAGCAGGAGGATACACTGATCTCCCCACATTCTAATCAGTGTAACTTCAAAGAATTCCATTTTCCCTTTGCATAATCTAACCAGGGGAGATAAATTCTCATAAAATTATAATTCATAATAGTTACATTTGTTTATTTCCAAGTATGTGAGGAATTAATGATGATGCAAAAGCTTGTTAAGGTGTTCTGTATCACAAGGTCTCAGGGAGACTATTTTTCAAAGGAAAGTTTCTATGTCGCTCACTGGTACAAATAGTAATATAGTTGAATGAAGAGGCATCTTGATTTGTTATGAATCCTTTTACAGTGTGAACCCACATTAAATTCAGAAGGAATAAAAAAGTATTAGAATTTGATTCTCTTCTCTCCAAGTAATAGACTTGGAGAGTAAATGAAAGGGGTTTTACCAATAAGGAAACTGAAGGGTATAGGATTTGATTACTCTACTTGACTATTAGCAGGATAATATAAAGACAAAATCAAGTGAATAAAAATCATAATATTTTGTTAAGATAAAGGGTTTAAGTTTAAGCTTACTTTGTTAGATAGATATCTATATTTTATGTTTGCTTCTTAGCACATTCATCCTTTGTATCCCAGATACTATATTCTTCAACCAACTCACTGCGGGGTGGGGGGTGGATAGGAAATCTTGATTTAAAACATTTTAATCTGTGAACAAAGGGTGTCTCAGGCCTTGTCTATTCATATATCATAAAGAGAAGAAACGTATTTATAAAATGGGTTCCAGCACAGTGTGCAGCTATTGTAATTGCCCTGATACAGTAAGTTAACTGAGATACAGTTAACCAGTTTGTTGGTTACAATTAGTATATTAAGTGGAGTGCCATTTATCTTGGCACATATGGGATTTCCCCTCCTTAAATACCCTGTCATTTTATTTAATTACTTAATTAACTTAATAAATTATAATTCATGTAGAATGAGTTATTTTAAAAGCATGATAATCTTAGATTCTGTTAGTGACAGAAAGTATTATAAAAATATTTTGGGGGGCACCTTGGTTAAGTGTCTGACACTTGATTTTGGCTAGGTGGTGATTCGATTTGGGAGCTCAAGCCCCGCATTGGGCTCTGCACTGTGAGTGCAGAGCCTGCTTGGGATTCTCTCTGTCTCCGCTTCTCCCTTGTTCGTGCATTCTCTCTCTCTCTCTCTCTCTCTCTCTCTCTCAAAAATAAATAAACCTAAAAAATATTTTTGAAAGAAGCCTGGATTATGGTGATCATTAAAAAATATCAGTTGAATAAATAAATTAATCCACTCTAATGATCATGTTTCTATATATGTAAGATTATTGCCAGATCATATATGCAGCCATGAACATGTCTGAAAATAAATATAGAATTCTCAGAGATGAGAGTATAGTACATGCTAAGTACTATTCAATTAAATTTACTTTGAGTCTAGTTCTATTAATGAATTCCTATAAGAGATACACCATTGGCAATAATAACATTAATACACTTTAGAATTCTTTTACATTTAAGGCAAATCAGAGGAGATACAATATATATATGAACATTAAGTGAAATAAATACTGAAAAGAATAAAAAGCAAGAATATTATTTTAGATATAAATGGAAAACAAATATCCTGGGCAAAACAAAGAGCAAATTGTATACAATATAATAATGAAGTTCTAGTTAGATTCAAATTAAAGTGTTCAGAACAAAAACTATATTTCATTTGCTTATTCCTATTTGTTGACATTCAAACAGTGTTGCAAACCAACTCTTTTCAGTTCCTTTTGTCAATCCAAAGCAAATGAAATCTAGATAATATTAACACAAATGTGTCTCTATATGCCATTCTATGTAATACTCTAAGCAATTACCTATATTAATTCATTTTATCTCCCAACAACCTTATGAGGTGGACACTCTTATCATCTGCATTTTATAGATGAAGAAATTTAGGTTTAAATAACCTACCAATAATCACACATCATATGAAATGGCAGAGCTGGGATTCAAACTGTTGTTTGTGTGTGGCTCCAGAATCTATTCTCTTATCTACATAAGTGGAATTGGAGAAGTGGGCAACTTTTTAGATAATGTAGATCCAAATTTAAGTCTTGGGTACATAGACATCATAGGTGAGATATATTTATGTTCAAGTTTGTAGTTAACCTAAGATGACCATCTTCAAGATGGTCTGTCTTCCTTTAGAGTTAGAAACCAGCAAAAAGAGGTGCTTACAAAACTTAGGAATTGGAGGGGAAACTAATAGTGCTTTGTTGTGACCATTAATTAGGTAAAAAATAAAAATTAAGAATGACATATTTAATGAATTCCCTATAGCCTTAATTATTGGAGAAAAAGATATCTATGTATGCTCTTTTGAAATGTTATTAGTATGTGAAGTTAAAATCAAGAAAGATGGCCCAAAAGGACAGTCTAACATATTACATCATAGATTATACCCCCAAATAAACTGCTAAATTTAAAAACAGCCTATTATATTTTCCCTGCATGGAGGAGGAGTTAATGATATAAATAATGATCACCCAAAAAACCATTCTATTCCAGTCAGGAAAGTTGCATTATCCATTCTGAAGGATTCATACAACAATTTACACAACTTTTGCAGGACCTGAAATATGACATTTAAAGTATTTTTTCCATTTTGAGTATACAAAGAGAGAGAGAATAGTTTTAATATCTCCCTGGTAAAATATAGGCAAGAACTTTAAATTTCATTGAAGAAAAGGTAAAAATCATTTTAAAGGTATTTGAATACAAGTAGATGGAAAATTCAAAATGCAAAATCCATACTCTGAAGTTTTGAATACTCTCACTTGTTTTAAAAAAAAGTAAGAATTTTTTCAAACTTCATGATGACTTGAGGGCTATTTTGTTTGTTGTTTTTTTAAAAATTTTTTTTTCCATGTTTATTTATTTTTGGGACAGAGAGAGACAGAGCATGAACGGGGGAGGGGCAGAGACAGAGGGAGACACAGAATCGGAAACAGGCTCCAGGCTCTGAGCCATCAGCCCAGAGCCCGACGCGGGGCTCGAACTCACGGACCGCGAGATCGTGACCTGGCTGAAGTCGGACGCTTAACCGACTGCGCCACCCAGGCGCCCCTTGAGGGCTGTTTTTAAGGGGGAAAGTAGAAGGAATTTGAATATTAATTGTTGAGAGAAAGAGAAATTAATTGGTGAAATAGGTATTAGATTTTAATTAGTATTTTTAGTTCCTTAAATTGCACTTTAATAATATTATTTCAAAATATTAAACTAACATTAATAATTGGTTAATATTGACGGTTTGTGGATTTTGTAAGAAAGTCTTATAAATTTTTGAGATTTGTTTCTACTAGATAGATAAATTAGATACCTCAGGCTTGCCATTTGAGTGAAATAACTATAAAACAAACAATACAGCTCACTGGTGAAAGCAAACTAAAATTATTATTAATATCAGCTAAAAGTCCAAACTAAATCTATAAGATATTTTTATCACATGTATTGAAATGCAAATTTAGAAAGGAGATATTTGAATAATGAGAATTTGGCTTGAGAAATTTATGATGTAATCTAAGACAATTTCTAATAATTCCTTGTAGGACATACTAAATAAAGAGATTATATGTTTAATGTATCAAAAATTTCAAACATCTAATGTCTGCCTCACAATACATCTTTAAACTCAGGAAGTATGAGTCTTCCAAATCTGTTGTTCTTTTTCAAAGACTTTTTGGCTATTCTGGGTCCCCTATATTTCCATATGAATTTTAAGGTCAATTTGCCAATTTCAAAAAAAAAAAAAAAAAAACCCAAATCTGGCTGGGATATTGATAGGGATTGCATTGAACCTGTAGACCAATTTGGCAATTTGGGAGGTATCATCATTTCAACAATGTCGAGTCTTCCAGTCCATGAACACTTTCCATTTATTTAAGTCAGCTTTAATTTCTTTCAATGATGCTTTGTTGTGTACAAGTCTTGCACTTATTTTGTTAAATTTGTTCCTAAGCATTTTATTCTTTTTGATGCTATCATAAATGGAATTGTTTTCTTCATTTCCTTTTTGGATTGTCCAATGGTAGTGTATAGAAATACAATTGATTTTTGTACGTTGATCTTGTATCCTCCAACCTTTCTGAACTCATTTATTAATTTTAGTAACTTTTGTGGATTCCTGAGGATTTTCTTTAGGCAAGATCATGTCATCCACAAATATGCTTTTACTTCTTTTCAATCCGAATGATTTTCTTTTTCTCATCTAATTGCCCTGGCTAGATTTCCAGTACAGTATTAAATAGAAGCAGGGAGAAGGGGCATTCTTGTTCATTTCTCATCTTTCACCATTAAATATGAAGTTGGCTGTGGGTTTTTATAATTGACCATTATCAGGTTGAGGACATTTCCTATTCTTACTAATTTGTTAAGTGTTTTTATCATGAAAAGGTGTTAGACTTTGTAAAGTGCTTTTTCTGTGTAAATTGAGATGATTGTATGGCTTTTCCCTTTTTGTTAATATGGTATATTTTATTGATTGATTTTCATATGTTAAACCAGCTTTTGATTTCTGGGATAAATTCCACTTGGCTGTGGTGTTTAATCCCTTTCATATGTTGCTGGAGTCAGGTTGCTAATATTTGGGTGAGAATTTTTGCATCTATATTCGTAAGGGATAATGGCATAGAGTTTTCTTTTCTTGTGTTATCTCTGCCTGCATTTAACATCAGAATAATATGGGCCTCACAGAATGAATGGGGAAGTGGTCCCTGCTCCTCTTTTTAAAATCAGGTTTGTGAAGGACTGGTGTTAATTTTTTAAACATTCAATAGAATTCTAGTCCTGGGACTTTCTTTGTGTAAATTTTTAAAAAAATAGTATTATTATTTTTTTAAGTTTATTTATTTATTTTGAGAGAGACAGCGAGAGTGCAGGGGAGGGACAGAGAGACAGGGAGAGAGAGAGTCCCAAGTAGGCTCCATGCTGTCAGTTCAGAGCCTGACACCCGGCTCAAACTCAGAAACCATGAGATCATGACCTGAGCCAAAATCAAGAGATGGATGTTTAACCAAGTGAGCCACCCAGGAGCCCCTGGAAAGTTTTTTGATTACTTATTAAACCTTCTTTAATAGGAAAACATTCACGATGAAAAAATTCACTTCCCCAGAGATAAATTTAGGCAAAACAAATCTGAAAATGACAATAGAGAACACAATTTTAATTTTTGATAAACCCCAAATTGTTCTAGAAGTTGAGTTTCTCATCAAAGCTCTTCCGCATAGACAGCCCATATTATCTGGAGCCAAATGACTTTAGAAATCTGAACCCATTTGTCTCTGATATTCTGGTCAGAAACCTCTCACATTAATAGTTCTGCAACTAAGTCCCAATGACGTTGATTTCCCCCACATACTCAAAAAATGGCCTTATGAGAAGTAGTCCACTGAAGGTTCCCTGTTAGTCCTCCACAACAGGAGCAGAAAACCGAGAGTGGAAGATGGCTGAGTCAACTCAGTGATCAAGAGGATAGAGAACCTGTCAGCTGAGTAGACTTATGTGGAGGTTCAGGGAATGACAGGTCAGGCTGGGATAGGTCCTAGACCATGTCAAATGGAGGTGGCTTATAGTCCTTAATAACAGCAACAGCTTGTGCCTGGCTGTGCCTGTCACTTAGGAGCCTAGTAGTTATGCTTCAGTGCTCCATACTTCGACATGTAAACATCAAGTACTCTGAAGCTTTGAATCATTGATAAAATAGTCCTGAGTTTTAACTCAAGTTACATCCAGGTTACCACCTTGTTTTATGTGGCACCAGCTCAATGCATAATATAAGATAGTTTTGCAGCAAGTTTTTCTGGCCATCCAGCAAGTATGTGTGTCATCCAGGACTACCATGTGCAGCAGTGTCATATATATTAATAAAGACTATGATTTTTTTCCTGTAGGTAAACCCTATGTATCAATTACTTCAGCTACAACTCGATTTTCCTCAAAATCAGTTTGTTTACTCTGAAGATTGAAAAGTAAAAAATGTCTCCATTAGCTCCCAAGTCTACAGCTGTAACAGACACCAAGATAAACAAGAGGCAGAGGGTGACACTCCCTGCGATTTTGCTTCATGGAGCAAATGCACAGTAGGACCACCTACTCTGTAGTAGGGAGAGCAGGACCAAATCAAACACATCATTAGGTGTTGGTCTCAAACTTCTATGTCTGACAAAGTTGAGCTAAGCTTCTTAATTAAGGCTTGGGTTTCTAGAACCTGGGACTGGAACCACCGTGAGACTCCTTTTTCCTCCCTTCGGTAAGGCTACCAAAACCAGTACTGGTGTGAGTGAAACCTCCAGTAGGAGAGGAGTGATCAGTAAAGTATCACCAAGCATATGAGGAAGACTAACAGTGTGAAAAATGCACTCAACAGATAAAAGAATGTATACATAACAAACACAGATTCAGAACAATATGGAAAGAACTTAAGAGTAAAAGACATTTAATGTCCTCAAACAAAAAATAAGTTGTAAATAAAGAACAAGCTGTTATGAAAACTTATCAAATGGAAATTTTGAAAAGAAAAAAAAACTATAGTTTTTTTTTTCAGTATATTGGGTGAATCTCAGGCTGAGACCGAGAAAGTACCAGAACATCGGGATAAAGGTAAAAAATCTAAAACAGAGTAAAGAAGGGGCTCTTGGCTGGCTCAGTTGGTAGAGCATGTGACTTTGATCTTGGGGTATGAGCTTAAGCCCCATAGTGGGAATAGCGATTACTTTAAAAAAATAAAATAAAGAAGTTTACAGATAAAAAATGGCAACTATACTGAGTTCATACTTTTAAGCAACAGTGTTGAATACCAAAGAACAGAAGGAAAATGAGTTTAGATTTAAATATCGATGTTCAACCAAACTATTGGCTAAGAAGAGAACTATTAGACATAAAAGTATAGATTTCTAGCTTTAAAATATACAGCAAGCTACCCTAAGAAGCAAGTATAAATAGAGAATAAAAGTAGTGACATGTACAGAAAAACTTGCATTTAAAAAAAAAAGTCCTCATTTACAAGGAAGCCATGTTTAAGGATTAAGAAAGAGTTCTAAAAAGTATGGTAACTTACTTCATTAGTTTTAATGAGTGATACTTGAATATAGTTTAGTTTTTTAACAAACCTACATAAAAGTTTTAAATTCATTGTCATTTCTTTGCTTTTAAGTGTTAAAAACTAGATTGTGAATGTCAAGGAAATATTTAAGTTATTTATGAATTTATGTTTTCAGAGAGGTAAAAGAATGTACACTATCTAGAATTACATTTTGAAAATACATTAATGATTGGCTACTTTAAAGTTTATTCAAAGACTTTCAGATCTTGCAAATTTCACTTAATTTTTATACCACGAGGACTAACCAGAGTTCAAGAGAATAATCGATTAGAGGCTAGTGAATTTAAATACAGATTTCAGGAAGTTAATTTGGTAAACAGAAGGTCTGGGAAGTTGACAGTGCTTTTATAAATTACTTTTATTTCATTTCTTCTTTATTGCTGAAATCAAAGATGTGAGCAAGTGCATCTGGAACCCAACTGGAGATCAGTACATTGTTTTACAATTCTCTGAGTTTCCAGAAATCTCCACACAAGTGAAGGAAGACAACTAAATAATATATTGGTTCTATGGAAATTGGCATTGTCAATCCCCAGCCCTTTCTGAATGTAGCTAGTTCTTTTGAAATTCAGTGTACAGATAAGTTCCAAGTAAATGAGCTCTTGAAAAATTCATTGATTTCTCAAATATTTTTTAAAAATTACTCATTCAGCAAAAGTTATTCAAGCATCTACTATGTGTGAGGCATAATGCCATGTGTTGGAGATACAAGTCTGAATAAAACAGAAACAGATTCTACTGTCAAGTTCCTTAAAGTCTAGTAAGGTTATTTAGTATATTTGGGCAGAGGAGCCATTTTAATTTCTCTTACTTTTTGAAAATTAGAATATTAGAGATCAATTTGGAAATAATTCACAGTAATGAACTTACTAGTCCTCACAGAAGACTACTAAAAATTATCATTAACATAGAAGGTCATCGCTTTTACCTTGTACCAGACTTTCAGTATGGGAATTCCAAAAAGTGGCCACAATAGATAGTACTATACATATGGTACCTTCTCTGTCCTGTACTTAATATCCGGATAAAGAAGTTTTTGAAAATTGTTTTTAAATAAAAGGGAAAAACTTTCCAACAGCACAGAAAAGAAATCAACTTTGAAACAAGAGTAAGGTGTAATTGTTTCTAATCTTCAAATTTAGTCTAGAAGATCTTTTCTGGCTTTACTAAATTCTGTTCACTCAACAATAGGTGAATTCAATGGATCTACCAAGTTACTAACAGCGTCTGTTCTTCTATCTTCTGGGTCTAAATGAGTGCTCAGCATATAGCTCCTCCAACTTTAGTCCCAGATCATATACCATATTGGCCAAAAAAAGAACTGCTTTCTATACTTTCCACAATGGAATAGTAGCTCTGATACTACCTAGGACTAAGTCAGCCAAATAGAGAAGACTTGGTCACAATTCTTTGATCTTTTCCTCTCTTAATGAAAATCCAGCCAATTTATGAAAAGAAGAAAAAAAAAAGATCTAAACAGAAGAGCCAGATTAAAATATCTCTATAAAGTGCTTCATCAATGAAAGGAAATACTCTTTCCCCTGATTATTAATATTCATGCATTTGATCTCAGTTATGTAAAATGACACCATTTATAGCTGCACTTTAAAATATGACTGAAGGTATGTCAATCTTAAATTCTTCTTCTCTTTTGGGGATTTTCAAATTTGTTGAGAAACTTCAGTTTTCTCTCTTCTAGTCATAAGTATTCAATTCTTGGAAAGCTCTGTCCTTCTGGATGAGAAAATGCCTTCAAGAAGAAAACCAATTTTTTCCTAATCAACTTATTTAACTGGGGACTAAATATTTTATCACTTAAAAATAAGTTTTTCTCTTTCACTCAAAATAGCCATAAAATGTGACTTTGGTTGCTTCCAGATTTTATTCATAGTTATAGCTAATTTAGACTTTCACAATGATACCGCTCTTTTAGAAAATTTTCAATGTTTATTCACTTCTGAGAGAGAGAGAAAGAGAAAATGAATGAGTGGGGGAGGGGCAGAGAGAGAGGGAGACACAGAATCTGAAGCAGGTTGGAGGTTCTGACCTATCAGCACAGGCCCTGATGCAAGGCTCAAACTCACAAACTGTGAGATTCATGACCTGAGTCAAATCAGTCATTCAACCAACTGGAGCCACCCAGGAGCCCCTTGCTCTTCTTTAGAACTACCTATTCTTGTATATCTTTTAATTACATTGTAGGTGGTAGAATGCTAGTGTGGATGGACAGTCCTCAGAAGGACCATCTATAATCCTGGGTCATGTCAGGTTGAAATCAGGAGAAGAGAACCAAGACAAAAAACAAAAATTACATATATATGTATGTATACATATATATAATAAAATTATATAATTTTATAAAATATAATAAAATTATATAATATACATATATGTATATATTATAATTTTTGTTATAGATTTCCCTCATATATCACCATCTAAATGCCAAGTACATATTAATTTTAAAAGTAGGATTGGATGGGACACTACTTTTACATAAAGCATTTAGAGATCATACATGTACGTGCTTTCTTGAAATTATTAAAAAACGACTCTTAGGTTGATAACTTCTCTCAGAATTTACACACTAAATTGTCATAGCATCAGATGCCCCACTAAACAACATTTTCTGCAAAATGTAAAAGCACAATCTGTTTTTCAAAATGCTGTAAGTTTATTTTTTTTCTTCAGTCTTCATGAGAATATTCTAGCCAAATCCAAGAGTAATTTGCCTTATAGCCTGTATTTTGTGTGCATTTATGACAACGTAAATGTAAAAATATTGAAATATTAATTGCAAATGTCAAAACATAAAATGAACTAAATGTATTGTCCCTAAAAACATGGTGTACCTTGAAGAAGGTACAGCTTAGAGAAAACACATTTTAATCTATCCACAAACTTCATTAACTACAAAGCTGCTTTAAGTATATTACAAAGAACATTATCTGACTGTATTCAACAGGGTAAATTACAAGATTACTGTTTTGGAACTCTATCTACATTGCTTCGGAGAGAGAATTTGAGATAGTTCCTTAAAGTAAACTTGTTTTGAAATCACCATTAAAAGATAATGAATCTATTTTTGCTCACCTATTAGAAAAAGAAAAGAGGCATTAAGACTGCATTACTAAGACAGAAGCAGATAAAAGAGAATACATGAGGATTAACAAAACCCACAAAGTAAAATCAATATTTAAAGACAATATTACATCAACTAAAGATTCTTGATTATAAACAATCAGAGCCAAACAATTACTTTTTGACCTGAACTATCATTAAAATTGGAGCTTTGCTTTAGTCTCACTCAGTGTCTTGAACCAGACCATTGGTAATAATCGGTTTGAGGAACTTGAACTCACTGGTCCCAGATCCTCCCGTCAGACACACCTCGTACTGGTAGCTCTGGGACAGCGTCCCCGTGCCGCTGACGTCCACCAGGTGGCCCGGAAAGTGGCCCTCAGGCCCCAAGCAGCGACCCGCAGACGCCGCCCGGCTCCGCCTGCACAGCCGCACCGCCACGAACACCAGCACCGAGAACAGGAAGAGCGACGACACGGACGCCAAGGCGACGACCA